ATATTACATCCTATAGGAATCACGCCTTTTACAAGGTAAAAAATCGACATTTAGCACGATATTTATGGGCCCTTTACGAAAATGTCACATGTGACTCACACGTGAGTCACATGTGACCACACGTGAATCACATGTGGTTCACATGTGGCCCCATGTGAGCCACATTTTGTCACATGTGACTCACGTGTGGTCACATTTGAGCCACATTTTGTTTCGTGTGAATAATCTGTTGTCACATGCGACTCACATGTGGCAACAGGTGACTACCTTTTGTCACATGCGACTCACATGTTGTCACATGTAAATCACGCCTGGTCACATGTTGCCACATGTGACTAAATTGTTACCACATGTGACTCACACGTTACCACATGTGACTAACTTTTGTCACATGCGACTCACATGTGACTCACGTGTGGTCACATGTTGCCACATGCGACTCACATGTGACAAACTTCTTGTCATATGCGACTCACATGTTCTCACATGTGACACACATTTTTTCACATGGTCATTTATAATTAGTTTAATTGACACATCTTCTCACATGTGACACATATGTAGTCACATATTTTGACATTTCCAGTCAAACTCAAAAGTTTAAAACGTAAGCAAACGTGATAAACATTACGGTTAACGTGCTTTGCAAATAGCTGTAATGTTCTCAAATTATTACAACTTGTTTTAAATCATAAATAAATGTCGACATCATCTGGATACTTACTGAACCTTCATGAGAGCATTTATCTGACATATTCCAAAGTAATTAAATTATATGCGCAGAAAGAATACAAAGGTGGTGACGCAAATTACATTCATGCACTATCATAACCATACCAACTGTTAGTCCCTGTCAACCATATTTGGAAGTTTAGCAAGGAATGTGGCACCTGAATCACGAATTAAAGCAAATTTGTCTATGATTTCACTTGGGTTAACAATTTCCAGGGCAGATTCTTCTCCTACAAGTTTCTTTATGTGACCACACAAATGCCCACATTCTCTTTCAGGATACAGCCAGTGCCTTTCACAATTGACAATCCTTGCGAAGGCAATGCAAATATCTTCCTTTAATAAGGCGAAGACTACCAAATCGACAATGCTTCCATCGCGTAAACCAACGATGCTGTTCTTCCGGCGAGATTCCCCGGTGTAACACTGACAGTGAAACACATTTCCATTGACAATGGATTTAGTAAAGAATTCTACACCTTCAGTTGGAATATTTTGACCATCTAACTCAAGAAGATATGTCTCCTCAATTGACAGCTTGCGGAAATATGACGCACCAAGAACATGCACATTATCTCCAACTTTCCGAGCTTTTTTCACTGGAGCATAGGCATTTAGCTGATCTTTCATGAAAGCAAGAAATGCATTATTACCACCATCATCAATAGAGTTTAAGGAAATTTGTTTCATTGCTTTGTGAAGGGACAGCTTGAGTACCATGAAAAAGTTTTAATAGTAATTGGTAGAAGCCTTCAAATATGTATGTAGAATAGACAGACAGAGGACCCCAGTCAATGACAGTTTGTGACAAATGGCCTAGCTGGTGAACATTGTATGACATGTTAGCTTCGCCATACAGCTCTTGAAAATTACTCATGAATTTAAGTATACAGGCATTAGCTTTGTTTATATCAGCCCGGGTGATAAATAATTTGGTAAGGAGGTACACGGCTTCAACTAACAGCAGGATGTGACGATAATATGGAGCTGGCATAATCTGTAGCCGACGGCAATCGATTTCCTCTAACTTTCGGCCTATGTACCAGGGTTGTTGATGATTGGATGTGCCAAACCAGAGATGAGCCAGCTGCCTGGTGACCCCAAAATCAATGCAATGCAAGTTATCAACAACAAAGCCTCTTACCATATCAAAATACGGAACTTCAAAAAAACTTAGCGGGACCTAGATCATGAAGTAAGGACAATCTATATTAATTTTTTATTTGTATTGTAATAGGCTATCCAAACTAAAGACATCATATTTTCAATATTTTAATGAGGCAATGATATCAGAAATTGGAATGACAAATCTAAGAGTTAGGTACCTAAAGGTTATGTGTTAGACAGAGCAAAATTATTCGATTATGATAATACAGGTGCATTACAGCTCAAAATGTTTTGCTCAAAATGTTTGCCTGAATACTGTATGTAATTAACATTTCAACTGATGTTGTTACCTGACAGGTAATATAAAAAATATAATTTGCCCAAAATTGTAGTTTATTTTTTGTGAACTTAGACAATTCAAAATCAGCTTTGGCGGAGCATGTTTGTCAAACTAACCATAACATTGGATGGAATAATTCAAAAGTCATTACCACTAACCATCGTTATGGACATGCATAGGCCTTGTTTGGAAGTCTGGCGTATTAGTAATATATTTTCGATCATTCCCGTCCGGTCAAAAACGACGTACGCGTACTATTGTTTTTAAGCTGAAACATCCATCTATTTGTATAAATTTTGCTTATGGTACTGAGTTGTTCGCAAAATATTAAAAAAATCCGGCAAAATTTCGATCTAAAAAGCAGAACATAATATTATGACAATTTTAGATAACTCCTATGCTTTTTTCGTAAAGGGACTCCGACTGATTCGTCATGATTCATCACTCAGCAAGTGCTTTAATCACCCCCCTGCCAATGTCTATAATCAGCCCATCTTTAATATTGGCAGGGGGGTCATTACTCTATTTACGGCACTTGTTCAGTGACGAATCATGACGAAATTACGCTTACGATGAGTTCTCCTCCTGATAGGTATAAACATTGCTGAAAAATCGCTATTTCTCGAGTTTGTTGTCCATCATGACTTAAAAACTACTAGAAAAGACAACTAAAGCATTTGTGGTTTATATATAACGGTTAAATGATAATAGAAAAAAAAATGATTCAGAAAACAACGAAATATCACAGGTAAGTAATATGCTTTACTTGTCATGGCTGTAAATTTTCACATTTGCACTGCGGATTCGTATTAATTACGAAAACTATTCAGTGACTTCGGATTATAGCAAATCATAAGGTTATAGTATTTTTTCTAAGCTATATTTTGGTGGTGTTTTCATGTTCTTTGCCCGCGTATTTGCAGAGTTATTGGACTGGTGAAAAATGGAACAGAGCCGTTCTAAATTTGTCAGACAATGATAAAATGAGTTTTAACCATTGAACTCAAAAGAACTGGAAGGCTACCTCCTGATTAAAAAAGCCAAAATTATTGAAGCCAAATTTTACCTCCAGACACGCGTGTTTTACCTCCAGACACGCGTGTAAATGTTGCGAGACATTCTCGCGAGGGCCTTTTCAGGAGAGGCGATTGGTGTTTCGTGGCGATCGAAGTCAAATGGCAGTGTATAAACGGACAAATAGATAAAAAAATTGCCGTTCATTTAGGTTTTACTTATGTATTTAACGTATTCTTCACACATACATCATACTCTAGCGAGGAAAAAGTCGGTCGGAAAAAAAACGAGCGAAAATGAACACTACAAACCCAAACGGCATGTTTGGATGATTGGAACGTTTAATGAAACTCCAAATAAAAGATAAGTAACGAATTGAACTCAAAAGATTGAGTTCAATGTTTTAACGTATTAAAATAACAAGTTTGTTGATTGTTGAACAAGATAAGTTTGTTTAATCTGTGTCTATCACTCTGCCTGCCTTCCTTAACGACTTCTTTTGTGTATTTCTTTCCGTACGTGAACAATCTTATTGTGAAATACTTGTCGGCGGTGCATTTTATCAATTTTGTTTTGTGGCCGTCTTCGTTTAACAGTTCATTTTCGCCACTGGCGTAGCCAGCATCGATAATTGGGGGGGTCCATATTCATACACTCTAAAAACATCCTGGTTAAAATTTCCTGGTTGATGTGGAAATAACCCTATTTGGGTTAAACTCGGTAATCCTGGTTGAAATTCCTGGTTATTTCATGTTTTTAAACCAGGAATACTTGTAACCCGTTTCCTGGTTAATTTGTTTTAACCAGGAGACTTTAAAGGAAGAATACCTTCATCAAAAACAAAAAAAAATGGCGTCGCATTTTTGGCGATTTTTGTTTTTTCAACTGGCTGTAGTATGTCTGTTTTGGCACGAACAAGATAAAAAGACAATCGGAGTCGTATAAAGCGAAGCGAACGATACTACTTTGTTTGGGTAAGAGATTTTTATGGTCAATAATGACGTTGTTTGTCCGATAAATGAAGTGAGTGGAGTGCAGGTTTTAATACACTCAGGGTGAAGTGGCGAAGCTATAGCCCGACAATTTTGCCACGCTATGCATATGAGAACATTTCCGTGTTCATATAAATGTCAGACAATTTACCTTGATAACAGAGTATTGGTGCTTACTGGTCCTTCTTATTTTAGTCTGACCATATAATTTGAATGTTTACATCGTATGTAAATTATTCAACATAACTGCATGGGTAAATACATTGTTATTATTTGATTCAACCTTGTTAGGTTTTTACATACATAATAAAAAAAAATAAAATTATGATTATGATCATCCCCTTCATTCTGTTTTGTAGACATTCCAATTAGGAAATCTGTGTTCTAGTATATGCTGAGTGAGTAGTGCAGCTATAGGTTAACAATGGAACTATCACTGTCTAGCAAAGCCCTTAACACAGGTTGACGGTGTGAGATAAGATTTCATACTTTGCATCAATTGTAGACGAGAACTTGCCTTTTTATATTTACTAAGCATTAATTACAACAATTAAGAAATATTTTCCCGCCTTGAAATATTTTCCTAACTGCTCCTGTCCTTGTTATTTTTCACAGTCACTAAATGATTTGAATAAAAGACCTCTTACCCAGTTTAAAGAGTGCTGAATTTTCTGTATTTTAAAATTTACATGCCCCCCTTTGTCATCCCCCCCTATATGGTCTTGCCTTAGACTTGTGGAAATGACTCTTCCCATAACAATAGGCAGGGCTTAGCTGGGCTGCTTCATAGGGGCAGGGGAAGGGGAGTAGTCATATTCATGTTTATCTACCACAGGAACAATAGCCTACAAAATAAATCAGTCTCCATAAGATGAATGTTTGAATTAATATACACATGTACCCCAATAAAGCTTCTAGCTACAGCCCAGACAATTTGTAGGTTACTTGATTTAAAATGGCTGAAATTTAGCATGTTTCTTATTTTCTGAGCATAAACTCTAACTTATGTTCATTTAGAACAAAAGCAAAATCAAAATAGTGTTAAATATTCTGACTGTTATTGATATTTCAAGACATTGAGTACTTTAAAATGCAAACAAAGCATTTATTTAAGTTAGGGACTGTACCATACCTTTAAAATATCCCTAAAAATTATAAAGCCCCACCCCTTAATTCTTCCCATTTGGATATATCCAGACCTTCTAAATGTAAACAAAAAATTAACTGATTAACACTACTTTGGTTCACTATAGATTTAAATGAATATGAGTTAGCGTTTATGTTCATAAAAATTAGAAGCATACTAAATTTCAGCAATTTTAAAATGAGTAGCCTACCCATTGTTATGAGTGGAACCGATGCACAGAACTTTTATATATCCCTCTAAAGCCGGGCCGCACACGACACAATTTTCGTCGTACGATTTTAGTCAGTCGACTAAATCCTTGCATGTGCGATGTCGTTTTTTATCGATTTTTAATATCTGGCGATTAAAATCATACCTTTACATTCGATATAATATCGAGCGTTCTTTACGTATACTAGTACACATATATAGTATTTTAGGTTCATTTTGTTTGACTGTGCCAAACCAAATTAAAACAGATTAAATGACGTAATGGGTAAATGCCGTAGTGGAGGAAATTTTCTTCGGGTATACGTTCCTAATCCCCGTAAGTACAAGCCAATGAAAACCGAGGAGTTTATACGAATAAGCTCCCAACCTGACTTTTCGCGCTCTTTTGTGTTTTTTTTTCATTTAAGTTTTTCGTTCAAACGAACTATCGAAGTATTCCGCAAAAAAATACGCCATAAAAATAGTTATATGGATAGATTTGTATCGGAGAAACTCAAGGAATGGAACCTTCTTTGCTTGCAAGAAATATTTGAAGGTAGGATCAATACAAACTTGCGGTTTTTGCATTTATTTTCCACTTGTAAATATGTTTTCAGACAGAAGACATGACTATATATGTGGCTTTTAACATTTGAAATATTCGAAAAATTGTTGAAAATATTTGATAGTTGTGTATAATTAATGCTCCACGCCTCTACCAAGGCACTTTTCAAGACAGACGACAACTTATGGTTGCATTTTAAAGATATTTGAAGGCCATTTTAATACGCCACGCACTTACTGCAAGATTTGCTTCGCACTTTTTACTCTCTTCTTTGACTATACATGTATTTGTATTTGACAAAAAAAGGAAGCTTGTTGCTTTTGAATTGTTATTACTATATTTTTGCTGAATATTTAAAACAATGTTGTTTTTATGCAATGTCAATGCTCTGTCAATGCTTGAATATGAAAATATTTTTTTATTTGACATTATGATTTTAAATATCTGTGAATCAACTGCAAATATTTCTTTCAATAGATTGAGCCCAATATTTTCTAAAGTGCTTTAATTTTAGGTTCTTTCTTAAGTTGGGGGCCCCTTCAGGTTCGGGGCCTGGGACAAAATGCTCCCCTCTCCGTGGCCGTATGGTGTTGGCAGGCACTGTAACAATATTAGAAAAGATTACAAAAATAATAATAGGAGGAAATTGCACACTTCTATTATATATGCATGATAAAATACCAATAATTTTGCACTTCTCATTTAATGAAGTTATTTTCCATTATTATAGAGAATATGATTGACAAAGAAGCTTTGGAACTCTTAGATGAAGCATCTGTAAAGGAAATGGTTGTAGCTATTGGGCCTAGACAAAAGCTGCTAAAAATGTTGGTGAAAGAAAAGGTATACATATAAAGCATTGTTTTCTTGTCGATGAACAATGGGCTACATTTGCTCTAGGTGTGATAAAGTAGTGCATGGAGATGGAAATCGTCTTATTTGGCATATCAGGAATCGACATGCTTTAATGTCAGGCCGTATGTTCACCTGCCCAATTACGTGTGGGCAAGATGGATGCATGCAAACATTTCGGTTTTCTGTTGCTTTAAAACGTCACATCGAAAATAAACACAAAAATATCGATCCTAATTGTGATGATCGCGAGAACAATGGCGATTATGAAAACAATGATGATAGTGATGAAAATCCTCCCAATAATGGGCCCTTTGATGACATTCCTCCTCTCAATATTGATAACATGAGATCTCAGATTCTTAGTCGAGTCGAAGTCACTGAACTGGCGGCATCTACAATTGCTAAGTTGAAGTCGTCAAGCAGTGTTGTCCAATCAACAGTAGATAATGTTGTTAGTGAGAGCTCAGACATGTTTTCGCAGATGATCGAGTCATTAAAGAACAAAACTGAACAACTATTAGATAATAAAGGTATAGCTAATGAAGATCCCGAAAGACAAGATCTTATACAAATGTTCCACGATTTCCAACATCCTTTTGAACAGTTAGGTACTGTCTATCAACAGCAGAAGTATTTTAGTCAGACCGGTCATTTTATAAAACCCCAAGAGGTACCTTTTGCCATTGCTTATTATCCACGCAGCAACCCAAACACTGGCCATGTTGATCAAGTGGCAAGACACGTCACATTTCAGTACATTCCTCTCAAGAAACTTCTCAAGAACATTTTGGAAAGTAAAGGGTTCATGAGAGCTGTCTTCGAATACCAACCAAGTGATGACGGAGTTATGCGAGACTTCCATGACGGAGAATTTTGTCGCGGCCATGTCTTTTTTTCGAATTCGAGAAACATTGCCTTGCTTTTATATGTGGACGACTGCGAAATTGCAAACCCACTCGGATCAAAAGCAGGTATACACAAGATAGGTGTTGTATACTGTACAATCCTCAATTTACCACCAAAATTTCGATCCTCTTTATGTAATTGCTACTTAGTTGGACTGTATAATTCAGGCGATGTTAAAACCTACGGCTTTGATCCTATTTTGCAACCTCTGGTGGAAGATATTAAAGAACTAGAAACGGACGGTCTTCAAATAGATACAGATGTGTTCCAAGGCAGGATTCAAATTAGTGTTGCACAGGTAACTGGTGACAACTTAGGTGTTAATGGTATATGTGGTTTTGTGGAATGCTTTCTCAGTCACCATTTTTGCAGAAACTGCAAAATGCATATCCAAGAAATGCGTAGAGCACTAACAGCGAACAATGAGCTACTTCGTAATGTCGACAACTATGGTGAAGATTTATTACGAAATGATCCCACTTCAACGGGTGTAAAAGCTGCGTGTCTTTTGAACAATGTTGAAAACTTTCATGTTACAACAAACAATGCACCTGATGTGATGCACGATTTGCTTGAGGGTGTTTGTGGACTGGAGGTTCATGTTGTTCTTGGCAATCTTATCCAAGCAGGGTTTTTTGATCTTGACACTCTAAACAGCAGAATCACCAGTTTCGATTATGCACCATGCGATTCCAAGAACAAACCATCACCCATCAGTAATAATAAGATTCAACACCCAGATGGTGCAACAGGCCAGACAGCATCGCAAATGTGGTGTCTCATTCGCTATCTCCCACTTATGATTGCAGATCTAGTTCCAGAGGGTAATGAACACTTAGAGCTCATTCTTCTCCTTCTTGAGTGTATGGACTTCATCTTCTGCCCAGAAATTACTACACAGGAGACATATTTTCTAAAACAACTTATAAAAGACCATCATGATTACTTTCTGCAGATATGTCCCAATCGCAATTTGAAGCCAAAGCACCATTTCATGACACATTATCCACAACAAATACGTCTACTTGGCCCACTAATAAACTATTGGACAATGCGATTTGAGGCCAAGCATCGGTTTTTCAAAAGACTTGGCCACATTGTTTGCAATTATCGTAATATTCTAAAAACATTGGCAGAGAGGCAGCAGATGTTTTTATGCTACAACCTGATGTGTGGAAAGGAGCTTATCGACAGGGATATTGAAATTGGGCCAGGAACCTCTACCCTAGTTGCCTCTTTGGAAAAAGCAGAGTTTTTGAGCACTGCCCTTCATGTAAATCTCTTCAGTGAGGTATATGTTGCTAAATGGTGTGTAGTCAATGGAATAAAGTACTCAAGAAATGTGTTGGTTATCACAGGAAAATCAGAAGATGGCCTGCCCATATTTCAGGAAATTATTTTCATCATTTGTGATGGAAGTCATGTCAGACTTGTTACAGCACTCTGGGAAACCATTAAATATGAGCGACATACTCATACCTACGTTGTTACAAAATCAGCTGAACCAGTTTGGTCTATAACTCTGGTGGATAATATATATGATCGACAAGCATACCATGCATCAAAGGCTTATAAAGGAGATTGGCTCAATTATGTTACCATACGCCACAGAATACATTGATAGGTTGGGCACTTATTACCAACATATTAGGGCCTGCTTATATGGTCCTGTCTAGCCAGGACGGGATGTTTTTATCCCGCTTGTCTGCTACGTACAGCTATGATATAACAAGGTTGCTACAAGCTTGACAACACAAGATTGTAAAAATATTGTTATATTATGCATATGTACTGTGCAGTCTTGTTAGGACAGCCTTGTAACAAGTTGGATGATTAAACAAGCATGTTATTTTACAACTTGCAAACAAGTTTCCCAATACTTTTCAATAGCTTGTTTGCAGTCTTGTTTCATACAACTTACAAACAGAAGTGTAAGGCCAGCTATTCCCTGGGGCTTGGTATATCTATCTATAACATGTATTTGTGTACAATTCATATTTTAGTTCCTTCCTGGGACTTCTGTGACAACAGTGAGTGCTGAGACACCTGTGGCAGTGGCAGTGAGGACTGAGATGTCCAGTACAGCAAGTTCTTCCAATAGGAATTTTGTAAGCTTAGAATTTTCACAATTATGCATTAGAGAGGTTAAGATACCGCAGTTCCAGTGTACGGGTACCCTTATTTTGTGCTATGAATATCCATCAGTGTTTCTCAATTTTTTCGAAGATTATCTTGACAATTATTTTCCAGTAGACTTGAGGCAAGCATGATTTGTATCTTGAAACGTGCAAAAAACAAGAAATTCCAATAAACAAAATATGGCTACCCGTACCTGTATACCGAAACCGGGGTTCTTAACCTCTCTATTAATTACCATAGCCTTGATGCCCAATATGCATTCCATGTAAGTTCCATGCTGGATTTGGCAGTGTCGAAATTTTAGTGTTATAATTCGATGAGAAAAAGCAAAAGAAATTCAAATTTAGTAATATTTACATACAAACACAAATTTTTAGTATGGTCCCCTCCACCATTACAACTTCTCGATCTTGTGTCAATTCACCGGCAAGACATTCATGATTCTGCCCCCGGAATTCTCCCGGTTAAACATTGAACTTTTCTGCAGATTTCAGCTATAAATTTTACATTACAGGCTTCAGATTCATCAAAACACAAAGAAATCAATGCAAAGAAATTAAAGGCTGATTTTGTATGTTCCATATTAATAATAATCACCGACTATATACTTAATGTTATATTACATATACTTAATGTTATACGTAATATTTTAGTTTGGCATTATTATAATGCTAATTAATTAACATTAATATCAACTATATTTAGAGCATCCGATCAATTCTTGAAAATTCTGCACTTGGCGAAGAAATCCTGTTTGAATTGGATAACGGGAGACTACCCAGAAAACAGAGATTGAAGATGGTTCAGGTTCTTGTAGCCGAGATGATTGAGAGATTTGGGGACAGGTTGCAATTAATTATACTCTACATATACTGTACAACGTATTACATAATCAAAATCAAAAATACAATTTTTTGACATTAAAAGATGGCATACAGTATCTTTTGTTCATTCATAGAATTTAGAGTTCTTAAATATAGCCATTCTTTGATTATTTCAACAGGCCACGAGCAGATGTAAAAGTGTCCATGGCCAGAGCTGTAGTTGAGGAATTCCCCTTTCTTAAGGATGAAGAAGGCCAAGGATTTGTAAGCTTTAATGACAACCATAACATTGAACAACTTTTTTTTCCAATTTAATTCGCCCAAGACATTAAAATTACACAAATATAAAGAAATAAATATCGCAAGTCAACATGAATGTTGCCCATCAATATACATAATTCAAATGTTTTGCAGGAAGCTTGGTACACTCCTGGGATGGGCATTCATTCAGCTACAGGGTGGCTTGAAGAGAAATTGAGAAATGTCAGAAGACGCTCAACAGAGGGGAAAAAAGTTGGTGTGTCAACTAGTGCGCCAAGCTCTAAGCTTGTTAAAGTTGGTGCATTACCAGGTAAAAAGGCCATTGCATCCCATACTTTGTACAGTGAGCGTAATTCCCACCAGCGCAGTGACCGAATGACAGCAATTCAAAATATAAATGGTACAGCACAATGAACGTAACGTAATCTGTTTTCCCTATCTCAGAATGCATAATAAGTGATGATGAATACATGGGAATGGTAGAATGGTTAAAGCATCACATCGAACCACTCAGCAAAGTAAAGCAATACATGAAGAAAACATCAATCAGTCGTGCTGCATGGATTAAGGAAAACCCTCAACTATCAGTCTGTGATATACTGAAAGAACATCCAAGGTTGTTCGACATACCTGGTATGGTGAGTATTGTACACAGGAAAATTTAACAGGAAATTCCTATCCTAGGATGTGAACATGAAGATATTCTTTCTTCATCTATGGAGTGGCATTGCCTGGAAGGACTGTCATCACAATAAAATGGAGATAGGATGGCATAATTATACCACACCATTTAACTGTTTGTTTATTTACCTATCTAGATTGAAATAGACTTTGAAGAAATATTTGGTGAAGTTGCAGATAATCTTTTCCTAAAATGGACACCATCTTTTGCTGAAAAAGTTATTGCCTATGCTAACAGCCAAGCAAATTGGCACAGTTACCTCCATGTTGACATGCAGAAAGTCAACACTGGTAAGCTGCTGTAAAGCATGTTTTGTCTTTTCTGTCACACAGAACATTTACTGCAATTAGCAAGCAGTTTGTTCTACAATGATGAAAATAATTAATACTTTTTCTTCTAGATGAGGAAAAACAAAATGTTGCAATTGTGCTCTTACCAGCAATATTTCCTACTGGACGCAAAGGGAAAAAGAAAAGCACCATTGATGATGCTATCAAGGTTTTTGTTGATGTTCAACCAGTAAGCATGATTTTGTATCTATGAATATTTATTCTTATTTATTTTGAAGCTAATCCATGAATTTAATGGAGTACATTATACCTACACTATTTAGGCCACTCTCTATATTGGGGAATTAACATCTACATCTGCCTTAAATTAAGCATTTAGTACTCGCATACATAAATTAGTGTATAATTATCCAACTTATATTATAAATGTCAACATGATGAGTAAAATTCTCAATCTGCAGAAACCAAACTGTAGACTCAGAGGTACTGAAAACTAGTCTGATGACTGCTCTTTAACTGCTTTGATTTAATTTGGAATTTTCCCCAATATAAATAGATTGGTACCAACATGCCAAAATATCTTGAGGAAAACTCCACTGATGAGCCACAGGTTCTGGTTCATGGAAGTGTCACCAGTCCTCAACAAGTGTTGTTGTTAGCAAAGGCAGAGCATTGGAGAGGTCAAATTTGTTGACTGCTATCGACACCTGTTTCAAGATGTTTTATATTATGGATATCGAATACCCCTGGCAATGTGGCATCACATGGGAATTTTTCCAAAAAGTAATTTTTGGTTTGGAGGACAGGTGCAAACATAAAAAAACTGCTCCGTCTGTTATCTCCATACGGGCTGCATTAAAGGCTTGATTGTTTATTGTGTCTTTCATACTTGTCATTGCTTCTATCTGTTATTGCTTCTATATATATATTTATATATACTGTACCATTGTTAATAAAATGCTTTTGTGATTTTGCAATACATTTGTACACTTGATTTTTATATTCACTATTTTATATGCGATGTTCAAAAAAATCAAACAGATATATTGTAAATAACAACACATTCCTGGTTAATGTTAACCAGGAACTGTAGTTAATATTCATCTACCAGGCTTTCCTGGTAGATTTTGTTGAGTTGTATATTGACACTTTACCTGGTTAATACTTAACCACATTTTAGGTTGAATTTAACCAGGAACTGTTGTTAATATTCTTTAACCAGGACTTCCTGGTTGATTTAACCAGACTTGGTTAGGTGGTATACTGACACTTTACCTGGTTAATATTTAACCCCATTTTGGTAAAATTTAACCAGGATGTTTTTAGAGTGTATATTCATGTAAACAGACTGTAAAGACAATTGATTTGAAAAGAAATTAATCCTGCGTATCACGAATATATGAATATAGACCCCCCCAATTATCGTTCTGGCTACGCCGCTGATTTTCGCCGTCTTCATGATCGGCAAAAACATCTACACTTGTGTCTAGTGCGAAGTGGTGACATACGTTGATTATCATTTTTTCCTTTAGATTATTTTCGCTGTTGATTTGTTGGAGATCTTTACCGCAAACCGTTGCTTTAAAAACGTGTTCGCAGTACTCGATTGTGCGAAATACTGAGGTTGATGGTATTTGCAAACCACCTTGGTTGATAAATCTGGAAAACGACCATGCTTTGCCAGCTTCATGATATAAACTGGAGGTGTAATCATGACCATTTACAGGGATTTGTTTTGAAAGAGGGAGAATACTTCTTTTACACGCCGAACAAGGTAGTTTGTCTAATAGCTTTGAGACTATGTACCCTGCGATGTAAAAAAGTATGTTAGAGGTGAACTCACTGTGCCCACTTGGGTCCAAATGCTCACATATGGTGGTAATTTCATCTGATGTGCTTTCATCTTGGTTTTCCTCACTTGCTGGTGCTTTATGCTTTCTAACATGAAATAGTGGAATGAAACTGTTGCAACCAGTGAAGTCAACACAATTTGCATTTTTAGAAGCAGTTATTGGATTTCTCATAAGGATTTTCCTTAATGCATACTTAAATTGAAAACAGTTAGGATTGTTGTTCCATCCTCGATCCTCGAATGCATGAAAAGAATAGTTCAACATGGTCCTGTGAGAATTTATATGTTAACAGATACTTGAACGGGTTGGTTGGGGAACAGAGCATTTGGTTAGCCATTGCAATTGTTGACTTAATACAGGTCACAAAACCAATTATGAATGTTTTGCGTCCAGTTTTGCAAAGCAGTTGTGCTGGGTTGGTCTTAGTTTTTAAAAACAATAGGTACTTTGCCGAGTTGGTGAAGATCTCTTCCCACGAGTCCTTGCTTTGCTACGCAGAGGTGTTTTGAACCCCTTTCCAGCAGGGTTTCTGCTATTAAGCATGTCGAAAAGTCTGTCAATTGTCCGGATAAATTTGATTGTTCCTTGGCTATCACGAAAATGTGGATGGTTAGCAGAGACATCTAGGAATTCAAATGCGTTTGCCACAGATGAACTAAGGGTTTGGACTGCAAGTCTAACATTCATTTTATGTTTTTCATATTTAAGGTGATTCATTGAGAGCTTGTTGGCAAGATTAAGCCCTTCCTGTTGTTGGAGTTGTTGTAATTCTTCAATATATTTCCACTTTAATTAATTCCCATCACAATCAACAAAGGATCCAAGGTGGCCAAGAGCATTACGAGCCAACTTTAACATGTGACATGGATCAAGTATGATATAAACATCTTCCCCAGTTGTTGGATGTTTAAAAGATGTTTTCATTTCGTCGTATGTACCAGATAATTTGCCACCAAGTATTTCAAATCTTCTAAGATTTACTGCTGTTCCATCAGCTGTGACAGACCACACCTTTAGACCTGCCTTTGGAGCCATTTCCAAGGACTTTAACACCAACTTTGCTTAGTTGTTTGCTGAGATTTTGTCAACTAAAAAATATCCAATTGGGCATTTCCAATGGCTTCTTGTTCCAACCAGGAGAAATACCAATGCCTCTGATGCCAGTTTGTCACACTGTAAATTTGGAATTTCATTGCCAACATCAACAAAACCTGAATACCGGCCTTTCTCGGGGTTCCATAATATTTGCTTGCGTATTGACATAGCATCGATGACAAGACAGCAGTCCCTATTAATGGAGGAAACCTGGACTTGTTTGGATAACGATGTAAATGCTTCTTCTATAAATCCTGGGTCGCATTTAATGGAGGTCGACCATTTTTTTATCAAAGATGGGTTTGGTAGCGGGATAATCGATCTGATATATTTGTATGCTTTTGGTTAGTAGAAGTAAAGTGTTACTGCAAATTCCTTAATTTCATCCGTGTATCTCCTCCTTGCACATGGCAAAGTTGTGATGTTCTTTTTGAAATTATATAGAAATTCCAAATTTGTATTTTTGAAATTTTCCTCTAGAGTTTCAGCTTCCTTTACACTGATAACAAGTTTATCTTTCATGATTTTGATCACCTCACCCATGTTTTTAGCCTTCTGTTTTGAACGGCGTAGCTGTTGTTGCAAATTACGTATTTTCTTTGTCAGTTTTTCCTCTAATGTATCCCTTTTTTCTTCAGGTAGAGGTTTGGCAACTTTGGCTGGTGGTACCAGGTTTTCTTCATCAAATGGATAGAATGGCCTCTTGTTCGCCTCTTTCTGTCCACTTGGTGATTCATCTGGAAGTGATGGAGCTGCGTATGTTGGATTGGGTCTTGATGGTATTTCATGATTTTTTAAACGGCATGTTCCACTTGATGAAGGATAGATTGTGTAGACGGTGGTTTTAAAGTGGTCACTGCATATACGGCTATAATTTGTTGCCCTCCATGATGCGTATTTATTAGCTTATTCTTTAGGCCTCTTAAATTGCTTTTAAGCTTCGTTAAAAATTTTTTTCTGAGTAACTCTCCAGTAAATCTGCACTACGAGCTTCAATGAAGGACTGGGCAAGAGATGTTTATGTTTTTATTTGTTATTATCTACTATTAAAAGGTGCAAAACATAAAACTAAATTGTGGTTGGTAGTTTAATTTTTATTAGAATACCTTTTACCAACTTTCAGAAATAATAAGTTGAAAAATGTCTGGGGAAAATAGGGAAACACAGAATTTACCGATGCAGCTGCACTGATCGTTCGACGTTTTTCATTAAAAAAGGCAGTTTAATTAAGAATTCCTTACGGATAAGTTTAAAATATATCACTCCGTAGTGTTGACGGGGATTTAAAATAAAATAAAATGCCGATGGGAGGTGCATTTTACGTCCATTTGACGATGTTTTTTATTGCTTTAATGTTGAACCATTGTTTTGTTTTGGACATTTAAAAAACCTGCGTATATCTGTTGCGTGGAAAGACTGGACACGACCCCCAAAATTTGGCTTCAAATTTCCGGCCGGGGTAGCTTTCCAGTTCTTTTGAGTTCAATGGTTTTAACTTTTAAAAGAATCTATTTGATTTTCCATGGTATTTACAAGCAAGTTTCCACGCCAATTAAAATTTCATAAACTTTAGCTTCAGCAATCAGCTGGTTTTGCTATCTACCAATTCATGACATGGGGCAGCAGCTATGAATTTCCTCAAGACATGCTGCCATTAGTTGTACCCAACAGATTTTCTTTTCTTGTTTTACACTAACAAGGTAACAAGGAGTACGAGGAGCCTTTAAAGCAAGAGCGACAGCCACTCTGAGACGTCCCACTTTATTGAAAATTACTCCTTCTTTAGGATTAGGGTTTTCAAAATACCTATAAAGAATATGCACTGAGTCAGTGACACTTAAATTTGATTTAATCTGCAATACATCAAATCAAAGGGTATAATTTTAATACCCATACAGTATGGCAACAAATGATTAGCAGGCATACTTCAAGCAATTCTTATTCAGATGAATTTGAGGCTCCCAAGTTGACTCATAGGGGTTATAATTTTCCCACTTTATCATATATTCTTTTCCGTTTATTATTAAATAAATTTCAAATAAGCATAATGAAACCATGTTAAAGGTAGCTTAACACCCACTATTCTAGTATTTTATATATAAACTCAATTGAAGGCCGAAGGTTCGTGTGAATTCTTACTAAGTAAATTTATTATAAAGGCCAAAGGTTTCTTTGGTATCTCCGTTGGCTTTACTGGTTCTTGCTGGTGTCGCTTTGTCGTTACTTGGTACTAGACACATTGCCCGACGATTTGCTCCACCAATGTGTGCATAGTCGGAAACCAATACTTTTTACGAAGCATCTGTTTGGTCTTCATCATTCCAAGGTGTCCCATCTGGTGTGCTGCCTGAACAACTTTTATCTGAAGGCGTGTGGGGATAACAAAATTAAACATGGTTAAAAGCTGATGAAACGATTATATCACGCGGGATATTCATCCAAAAGGGTACAAATTTATCCAAGGGAGTATGCTCGTGGGGGTGGTATCGGCTTACTTTTCAAACAAAACCTCCGGATTAAAAAGTTGAAAACAAGTTCTTTCCAGTCATTTGGAATTCTTATTAAATGTTAACTCGTCAACTTTCAGATTTGTTGTTATTTACCGTCCTCCTATATCATGGATAAACAAACTAACATATTCTGCATTCTTTGAAGAATTTCCAACCCTATTGGAGCATATTTCTCCAGCTTCTGGAAAGCTTATAATGGTAGGAGATTTTAATTGTGATGTAGATGAGGAATGGTC